ACACACACACACACACACACACACACACATACACACACACACAGAGTTCTGAATGCACACGCACACATTTTCTGGCAAGAACCCCACCCCCCCAACATTTGCATGAGCTCACTTCATCGTAAATAGATGATTTTGCTTCTGAACCTGCTAGTCACACTTTGAAGAGCGTTGAACTCATTTTCTGAAGGTTGCCCTAGATTTCCTTTGCGTGAGTTTTGTCGTCAGCAGCAGGTACTGCCATATTTTTCTGCTTCCACTGTTAAATGTAGCAAGCTAACGACAAACTGAGGCAAATATTAATACCAAGCTCCATGCAATATTGATGAAGAAAACACAGGGGAAGGGCACTAGGAAGGGCTTACAGCTCCACTTATCAGAGAGAAAAAGAGAGAGAGAGCGAAAAAAGATTTGCTTTGACTTTAAATGGCACATAACCTGCCAAGCCTCGCAAAGAGATTTCAGCTCAGCCTCTTCTATACAGAAAAAGATGACACTATTCATCAAAGCATGCTGGGCACTTCTTACTCACAGTGTTGGAGAGAAACTGCTCAGATTTGATACAAAGAAGAAAAGATTATTGTAGAATTGCAACCAGAGAGTGTTTTCACTTAAAAAAATATTACTCTAGATGACTTTCCCAGTTGATTAGAAATTAATTGCTTAGTAAAAAGAAAGGGAATGTCAGTGACGATCCCAGCTTCATCATCGAAATCAAAATTTGTCACATAAAATAATCACATTTCTGAAGCCAAAACCAGTTATTTTGCGATTTTGTTTATACTGAAACAACTCTTAGTTATTAGAGTACTTAACATTACATTTTGTGGGGATTTCTAATTGATTATTCAGCCAAAGGTACTTTTGTGTTTGTGTGCATGCTCCTATCTGCATGTGCATGTCTCCTCTTGTGTTGTGTAAACACAAGAAAAATGTGTTTACAGCATGACAACCTTGAAAGATTGCCTACATTACCCTACAAGACATCACTGCATCATTATAACATTAAGCTGACACAGTGGTGCCTTTACTAATTAATAGATTTTTCCTGCCCCGAAGCTCCCTCAAAAACGAAAGTTCAAAACCCCGCTTGTTCTGTGAATGGATATTTTACGTTTTCCTGTCAAAATATCTTCCCCACCTGAAACCCAGTCATCCTTTATAATGCGTATGGTTTAAGGCTTTTTCCTGTCATGTCATTGTCATTCCATTTCACAGGTCCCCCTGTAAACGTTACATGCAATATTTTTATCAACAGTTTCGGCTCTGTCACAGAGACAACTATGGTGAGTTCCTCTGGTATTTGGTTGATTTTTGTCCTGTACAATGTGTCAATATGTTATCTATTCCTCAACCTGCAGGTCCACCAGTTAATGTTACCTGCAACATATTTATCAACAGCTTTGGTTCTATAGCAGAAACTACAATGGTGAGTTGAGCGTTGTATTTGGACATGTTTTAAAGCCCTGACCTCTCCTATGGAGATACGACTGAATCATCCTGTTTTTACTTAGCCTTGCTGACCTTTTTTAAAACATCATTCCATGCCATGTCTTCCTATTCATTAAATAAGATTTAGTTCTTTGCCATCAAAAAGTTTATTGGCGGGCTATCCAGTCAAATATTGGTTTCTGCTCCCATGAGTCTGGTTTTACTATTTCATACAACAAATCCCGACAAGTCACTTAAGCAGAGCCAATAATTGACAGTGGGGGGCTGGGGCTTTCAAACAAACACCTCATGCAATGCATGAGGTGTGAAGGCATCCAGCCCCTGAAGGGTAAAAATATGAAACCTGCAGGGTTGCACTGAAACTAATCAGGATCAAATTGTAATGAGTGATAATAACTACTTAGATCATAAATGGAAAATGATAATTTGCGCAGGAGGTGGAACATGTACGATTGCCAGGGAATTACACAGTATTAAGACGGGCATGCAGATATTTGGAACCGCCAATATGCTGATAAAATGTCAAGCAACATAAGGGCTTCTCATCATCATGACATATCAATTACATTGAGCTTTGTGACACTCAGTCTACTGCTAACTGTGCTGTCAGATGCCTCCTCTTCAGGCTCTGCATCTGATAAACACCTCATTTAGCTTCTCTTGCATAATTTTGAATAAGAAAGGTTATGGTGAGGTCAGTGGCTTCTGAATGCAGCTTGCAACAATAAGTAGTCATGAAAGTTGCCATGAGAAAAAATGTATGATAATTAAGATTAATTTTGATCGTATTGCTGAATGATATAATTTTTGCAAAATGTGCATTGGAACACATTTGTCACTCATTTTCCTTTTATTACGTTTCATGGATTATTACTGATGTTACGGGATTGCTTTCGATCCTTCTGCATTGCAATAAAAGTTTTTTAAAAAAGAACATCAAAACACACTGGAAGCACCAAAAACATTCATTACTGTCTGGTCTAAAGACGAATTTCATTTATGATTTGTGTATTAGAAAAGTAAATACAAAATTTCCTGTATTTACCTTGTCAAAAAGAACGTTATGTAATATTAAAAACTGATACCAGTGATTGACATTCCTCCATCAGCATGCATTCTCATAACCCGAATCGCTGCGCTGCAAAATATGCAAAGCCGCCTTTCGTCTCCGCAGGATTACAGAGTGAACATCTTCCTGCGGCAGAAGTGGAATGACCCTCGGCTGGCGTACAGTAAATACCCAGATTCCTCCCTTGACCTGGACCCATCTATGCTGGACTCCATATGGAAGCCTGACCTCTTCTTCGCCAACGAGAAAGGAGCCAACTTCCATGACGTCACCACAGACAACAAGCTGCTGAGGATCTTCAAGGATGGGACTGTCCTCTACAGCATCAGGTGTAGTACTTCACAGGTTTTTAAAGACAATTTTAAAAGACTGAAGAACTGCACTAGAGCATCATTATTTGGAAATGTTTTAATAATTATTATTTTTGTGATATTGGGACAAAATAGTTTCTGGACATTTTTTCACCACCAATGTTCTCTAAAGGAACAAAACGAGAAAAATAACTGGTAGATTAGGAAGCGGCAATAATAACTTGCCTTTTACACAGTTTGATATTAGTGTAGCTGAAGCAGAAATCTCTGCTGAATGCACAGATTACCGCAGGACATGTTCACTTACTGCCTTTCTTACACTTTGTCTTAAACATCAAAGACTGTCAATCTGCAGCATGCAATTTGAAACAGATTTTTATCTCACTGTGATCATTTCTTTGAAACTGTATAATTTTCTGAACCGCAGCACATTCCCATGTGCAATACGACTGCAAGAGGACAAGTAAATCTCAGGGGCGCTGGTGAGAATCTAAAGTAAAGCCCAAACTTAGAGCTGAGAAGGAAGGGGGTATTTTTCTCCATGCTGGTCTTCTATTAAATATGAAAAGATGTTTGAAAACTTAGGATGCATACCACCACAAGTACAGGCCAAAAAGAAAAAAAAACTTGTAAAATGTGCTGTATTTTATTACAATACAAAAGCCACATGGAACATCCAATTTTCTCTGCAGCGATGCGATATAAAGCAGATCAATTCTGAGTCCATTTAGAAAGCGGCTCAACTCTGAGTGGTGCTCAGGTGTTAAGGTATCGCAGGCCAAGAAGAAAAATGAAAGGTGGTTAGCTGCAGTCTCCATTCATGAGAGAAATGACAGAGTGAGCAGACTGTGGACCACAATGCATCACAGAAATAATAAGTTGCAGTAATGAAAGTGTAATAGGAACCTGCTGAAGGGTATCCTACATGATATGTTGGAGGTTATGACACAGGAGAAAGAGCAGCCAATACCTGATACAACTAAAAAAAAGTACCAACTGTAATCCAATTTTTCAAGATTTTTTTCAATACGCATGTTGAGCTGCTAGTTTGAGTGTTAATAAGCCTTCTTTTGACATCAAATAACATTGTTGTTTGTTGCATTTTACATTGTGACCTTGTGTCATATTACAGGTTGACTCTCATTCTATCGTGCCCGATGGATCTGAAGAACTTTCCAATGGACGTCCAAACTTGTACGATGCAACTGGAAAGTTGTAAGTGCTGATCTTTTTATATTCCAGATTTTTGCTACACTTTCTAAAATGAGAATCTACTTATTAAATTCACCCGTTCTTTTCTGGCTCTAGTTGGATACACTATGAATGACTTGGTGTTTGAGTGGCTGGAGAACGGTGCGGTACAGGTGTCGGACGGACTCACCCTGCCTCAGTTTATCATGAGGGATGAGAAGGAGTTGGGCTACTGTACCAAACATTACAACACCGGTCAGCATTTATGTCTATGTTTCAAACAGCTGACATTTCTCCCAGGTTGATGGCTAAATTGCATTTTAAATATGTTTTCTTGTTGATGAACAGGGAAGTTTACCTGTATTGAAGTTAAATTCCACCTGGAGCGCCAAATGGGCTACTACCTGATCCAGATGTACATTCCTTCTCTCCTCATTGTCATCCTCTCATGGGTGTCTTTTTGGATTAATATGGATGCTGCTCCAGCCAGAGTGGCGCTGGGAATCACCACTGTGCTTACCATGACCACCCAAAGCTCTGGGTCCAGGGCTTCTCTTCCAAAGGTAAAACCTTTGTTTGTTTTCCTCCAGCAGATAAGCACAAGCCTTTTATGTGGCTAAAACATATGAAGCTTGAGCCCTAGGTTTTGTTAGATATTTCTCATACGTATCTCATGTTGAACCATGTTCCCACAGATGTCTTTGCTGTTTATAGTAATTTGTACAACTCACCTGATCTGGTCTGAAAAGATTGTGATTAGCCAAAGTGTTTCATGTCATATCACAGGGTAAATTTTCTAAAGCATGAACAGAGAGCACACAGGAAGTAACCTAAAAGATTAATATTTCTTTTAAAAGTGAAAGTTTGTTATGGATATGCAAGTTAAATATATGTCTGCTGGCAAGATTGTCTCCAGGTGCTCCGACTTCTTCCCACAGTCCGAAGACATGCTTGTTAAGTTAATTGGATGTATGTCGCTCTGGGTGAGCCCTGTGATAGACTTGAGACCCTCCCTCTGACTCTATGACAGCCTGGACAGGTTTCAGCCGCTCAGCTAGGAGAGCGGAGTATGCAGTCAGTATGAAGTCAAATAGCAGTTTAAATATTAAATATCAAATGTTGTTATTTAAGACTGATCGCTGGTAAATAAATCCACCTCTGAGTTTTTACATTTTTTGTAAGTTTACATCCATTATGTAATTATATTGTTTGAGTGGTTGTCATAAATATTTATCATTTGAATTAATGCAATCAAGGAAAAAAGAGATTTTCTAACCATAACTGTAATTGGCATTTGAATAAATTCTGTCTGACACTGCTAGAAAGCATTCATAGTTTATTAAAAAGATAGTAGGTCCCTGCAGTTTTAATGTAGCTGTAAGGCACCTAGAATCCCGGCTGTACCTTGAAACAAAAGCAACCAGTGGATCAAACAGATTTTTCTATTTCTTCTTTAGGCAGTCAGTGCAATGAGCTGAAAATGGGTGCTGCTCCTTTAGTGTGAGACTCAGGCATCAACATTTCACACAGAGGATGGATTTATAACTCAAAAATAAACACTGAACCAATTGAGAGAACAAACAAAGCAAATCAAAGCGTTCTCCACAGTGGACTGTTTAAACTACAGCTCAGAGCTGTTGTGAAAGCCACTGTAATACATCAGAGGATAAGATACTCTATTTTTGTGTTTTTGTAGAAGCATAGCTGGGCCTGATACAGTTCACAATATGTAACATTTTTGTCATAAACTGTGGTCATTTCATGGAGTAACAAAAAAAAATTGTCACACATCAGTCTGCACATGAGCACTAAAAGGCCTCAGCCTCGTCAGAAATTCTCATATAAAAGACACGTATGCTGATAAATATTTAAAGGCAAGCCTTTGACAGCATCAGTGCACGGACAACAATTCAATATGCCTTAAGTGCCCTCTAGAACCAGAGATGTTTCTCCACATGCTAATCAGCTGTCATGAAAGGATGGGGTCACACTGATGAGCAGAAAAAGGTTTCAGCCTCATCTTCACTTTCTCAAAAGAACCAGATCAAAGTCAGGGAACTACAGGTACAAAGTAATGCCACAGTTCTCTTTCTTTTAGCGGTTGAGACATTAATTATTTGCTACTGTTAAAGCCACGCAATCACTGACACTGCTGGCAGCTCTGACACACTTGTTAGCAAACATTATCTGTAATTACAGCTATTTAGAGGTCACAATTAACTGAAGGAGCAAAATAAAAGGAAAAACACAGAAAGTGGCTGTGGAACAACAGATAGATAACAACACATAGGACTCAAGTTTAATATTAATAAAAGAGAAATACAAAAATTAAATAGCGTTCTCAGCTAAAGGTTACATTCATACTTTATTTTAACTGTTAGCCAATGCTGTCAGCTTGAAGAATCTAACAAAAAACATCTGTTTTTCTCACAGGTCTCCTATGTGAAAGCCATTGATATCTGGATGGCTGTGTGTCTGCTCTTTGTATTTGCTGCATTGCTCGAATATGCTGGGGTTAATTTTGTCTCCAGGCAACAGAAAGAGTTCCTTCGCCTGAGGCGAAGACAAAGAAGGAATCACAAGGTAGGCTTTTGAAGTCTTCACATGGTTGCTCTTCAAACTTTTAGCCACATTAACAGCGTGTCTCTGGGAACCCACAAGCCATTGAACTCCTAGTGCCATTCTCAAGATGGGATAAATAGGAAGGGTTGTGTTAGGAAAGGCATCTGATGTAAAACCTTTGCCAAATCAAACATGCTGATTATGATACCTAAGATGGTTTGGACGTGGGCAGAGGAGGGATAGTGGATATATTGGGCAAAGGGTGTTGAATATGGGGCTGTCAGGCAGGAGGAAAAAATGATGACTACAGGGAAGGCTGATGGATGTAGTAAAAGGGGACATGCAGAGGGCTGGTGTGAGAGGTGCCAGTGATATGGTGAGATGAAGGCGGATGATCTGCTGTGGCAACCCCTAAAGGAAGAAACCAGAACAAGAACAAGAAGATGAAGAAGAAGTAGTGTGTCTCTGAGGATGAGCATCAATAATACCTCTTTGGTCTGAAACAAAATTTCTCATTAACTATTGGATGGATTGCTTTAAATTTTGTAAAACATTTGTATGGCTCAGAGCATGAATCACAGTAGATCAAGTATGTAGAGTCTCACGCCCTTTTTTTTTTGTTTAAGATGCCAAAAGTCAAAATGTTCACTCATATTTCAAAATTTACCAAGTGAATTACTTTAGAATTTGGTATAAAGCTCATGAGTCCAGAAAGATGCAGCCTAACGATAATGTGCTCGAACCAAGGGCAGACTCCAATGCAGGAATTGGACAGAGCTCTGGATAAAAGTCTATAAATCTTGTTTTAATGGGCAGAGCAGGGGTCATACACAGGCAGACTGCCCATGAGAAAGGGGGCAGGCAGTAGGCTCAGTCGGAAAAATAGTCCCAAAATAAAATCAGCCAAACTCCAGGGATTTAACACTCATGGTGATCGGCAGGCAGGAAGCATGAGGTCATATAAAGTCAGTCAATAAAACACTGGTTTTATTTGGACTGCATGACAAAAAGGGAAAAATCTTCAAAAGGAAAGGAGAAATGATATTTCAGAGTCTATGTAGGTCATCATACTGTTGACTGTGGCCACCGTGATACTGGCCTTTGTGATTTCAGATGTGATGGATGGATTTCTACTAAATTTTGTCCATAGAGCTGGATGAATTGTCAGTGTGAGTCAGTTTAGTTTTACATCACAAAAAGCACATATTCTAACTACAAGTATGTGGCAATTACCATCTTTCAGCTGTTGATTTGAATAACAATCTTTTAAATGGAGAAAAAGGAAGTCTCATGTCCAACCCAGGAGGAACTGCTATAGTCCCTCCAGAATAAAAGAATACGACATAATAATAATGGTCTTGGTTTGTTATCCCAGTACCTGCAAAACTGCTGACTTCCTATTAGCTCTAACTCTATTTGCTATCATAGCCATAGAAACTTGTCAGTGGCGCTGAACACATGCACCTTTATTGCTGTTTGTCTGAATTAAGATTCACCCCCCTGTGACCCTGTATTGAATAAGCAGAAGAAAATAAATGGATGGATGGATGGATTAAGATTCATCTCCCGAAGCAATCTCTGTAAATGTTTTTTCACCACTGTGCATCAGGTTATCTTGGGAGTTTATTTTAAATTAATTTGAAAGTCCAATATCTCATGATTAATGTTCATGTTCATGTGGGTTTGTTGAAAAACCTTCAGTCATTACAAAGTAAAGCCTAACATCTGAGCTGCAGGCTTTTAAAAAGGTCTAGCAAACTCATCCACATGTGCATGTCACTTTTCAGGATGATGATTTGCGTGAAGGCCGCTTTAATTTTGCGGGCTACAACATGAGCCAATGTCTGCCAACAAAGGATGGCTCAGCTGTTAAAAATGCTGTTCCAGCTCCCAACCCTCAACAATCAGCCTCAAAGGACATAGACACCATGAGGAAAAAGTTTGTGGACAGAGCCAAGAGGATCGACACAATCTCACGGGCCGCTTTTCCTCTGGCTTTCCTCATCTTCAATGTCTTCTACTGGGTTACCTACAAGATCATCCGGCATGAGGACATCCATAAAAAGTAAAGACTTTGCCGTCGGCTGAGAACATATTTTACATTTCTCAGATTGAGAAATGCTTAGAAAGCACAGGGAGATGAGAGGGTAAACTGTGCATTGAGAGGCACCATTGTGGTAATGGTGGTGTTCTTTCAGGGATAACGTACAATATTTATGAATCGTACAGTAATGTTCATGATTTGATAATGTGAACAGTTGTTCAGACACAGATGCTTTACTTGTTCTTGTACTGCTGCAAAATATTTTCTGAAGATTATAGAGAAAAGGTCTTAGCTCAAGACTCACTAACATGCTGGAGAAGGTGGACCAAAATGATTTTGAATTGATTCAGCCTTGAGGTCTACAACCAAGAAACACAGGAACATTCCATGAATCCGTAACTCTAAGATAGCTCTGTCAAGCCCTCAAGACGTTTTGCAAATTTTCTTACCGAGGTAGCATAGGACTGTTTTATAATGGACTTCTGTCATAGAACTTCCACCCTATTTATACAAAACATAACTCTCACATAGCATTACATAACTTTTGGGGCCAGGGACCTCTAAAAAATATGTTTCAAGAAGCCCTTAACAATCGTAACACGCTGATGTGGTAGAATCGCTGGATGATGTTGAATAACTCAGTTTCTTAATGCTTGTCTGCTACTTAGATGGCTAACAAGCCAAGCTAAACAGCACCCCGTCTTTTTTTTTACACAGTTGTCACACTTACATGTTTCAGATCAATTTTATTATTAGACAAAGACAATATGAATAAATACACAATATATTTTTCAAATGCTGATTTCATCTATTAAGGAAAAATAGTTACTCAAAACTTTGCGATTATAGCCAAAACTCGATGACTGGTTGTTCCAGGCTTGGCAGTAAGAACTACAGTCAAGAGTTTGAGATAATTATTTGAGCCATTCAGATTTTAGACATGGTGGTGTGTTTCAAATCATTGTTCTGCTGCATAACCTGCTGGAAATGATGGCTGGGCATTCTCCTTTAGGATATTCTGGTACAGAATTCATGGTTCTATTAATTACAATGAGTCATCCAGATCCTAAAACAGCAAAGGAGCCTCAGACCATGACACTACCACCACCATGCTTGACCGTTGGGATAATGTTCTTTTTATGAAATGCTGTGTTAGTTTTATGTCAATATGTAACACAACAAAAAAAAACCCTTCAATGAGTCAATAACTTGGTTTCTCATCCGTTTCTTTATATTGTGGCATGAGTGTCAACTAGTCAACTTCACCTGGTCAGGCAAAGTTGACTAGTTAATGGGATTTATTGATTTTGCAGGTCTCACAGTAATCAGGCCTGAGTGTAGCCAACTATACTGAACTTCAGTCATTACATCTCTTATATTAGTCCATGTTTTTAATCCCCTCTTGGATTTGCCATTAAATTGGGAAGAGAGACACAACAGTGTCAGAATGAGGCTCTCTGTGTTGTTTTCCAAAAATATGTGGTTAATCACAGTTAATTCATGATTTAACAAGGGGGACAATTACTTTTTCACACAGGGATAAGTACGTTTGGTGAGCTTTTTTCCCTTAACAAATGAAATAATCATTTAAAAATAAAATTTTGTGTTTTCTCAGGTTATTTTTTTCTAACACTAACATTTATTTGATGATTTGAAATATTCAAGTGTGACAAATATGCAAATAAAGAAATAAATAAGGAGTAAGAAATCAGAAAGGGGACTTTCTCACAGCACTGTAAGTGGTTTCACATAAGATTGGTATCATCTGTCATAATCATTCCAGAGTTTCTATTGGCCCAAATATAACATGGGGTGCACCCAATTTAGTGCTGCAAATGATTCCAATCCCTTTTAAATGATAGAAAACAATCTATCGGTCTTTAGCTCATAATTTCGCCCCTGTGGATCCCCTGGCTTTACTTTGAGAACCACTGTTTCGAACTATACGAGCAGAGCACTAAACTAAGCAGCAGTAAATGTCTCAGGCATGGGTATGAATAAGTCAGATGAAAATCTGGAATCAGGAATTGGGTTCTGCATTTTTACTAAATCTCGAGGCCTTAGATGTCAACAATTTGGTCGGATAAAGTGCTACGCTTCTCTGTTTTTCCCTTTTGGGCGGTCTATCACAGCTGAACGCAGCCTTTGAGCTTTTCTACCAGTGGCCAGACATCCAAAGGTACTTAACAATGTTTCCTTTTTCTCCAAGTGAATTATAAATATTCGGAAATGATGTCACCCTTTTGTTGATGTCTTTAACTTTGCTTTTCATTCTTGTGCAGTTTATTTAGCAAAATATCATATATCTCACATGAAAAAGGTATAATGGCTTATTTTGAGCAAGTGTATAGGTAAGCCCACAAACTGTGAACATGCACTATGTTGCTTAATGTTATCACACGCCCGTATTCACGTGAATTATTTTAAATTCCAGGGTTAATACCCCCAGGTATGTAAGGTATAGTTTTAGAATTTGAGCTATGTTTTTGTAGATTTAGACAAATAAAATATTTATTGTAATGGGAAAAGGTTATGTTTGTTATAAAATAATATCTTTCTGTATACTTCCGCTGTGGACTGTTTCCCTTCACTTGTTTGTTGCTGGCTGATGATATTTGTTTGTAGATGGACTGAAAAGTGAAGGACAGATCTGCATAACAGTAATGGTACAAAGCAGCTAATGACCCTTGCACTCCTTATATACTGTGGTGACAAACTCTTTTCTTGAATGCTATTCATGAAAAACGGTTATTTATTGGTCTGTACATCAATAAAATTGACTGTGCACCATATTTACTTTATTTCTGCGTCTCCTGTCATTTATAAAGAAGTGACCAGTCCTCTGAATTGACATTTTCATCCATTTGTTGATGAGATTATAGTTTGCATTGCTTTCTTCTACAACAATAAAAGATAGATGCCTTAAAAAAAACGAAAAACAAAACAAACAAAAAAAGGCACAAACACGCAAAAATACTTTTTTGTGCTCGGTTGCAGATCTAAGAAAATAAAAACACTGCCACTTCTCTCTGCCAAGCTGATAAGTCAGGGTGATGACACATGGCATGGATCACTGGGTGGCCTGAGGTGACATAGATATGATCTGACAGTAGGTTTCCATTAATGCATGATAATGGACTTCACACTGTAATACACAGATTCCATCAGCTGGTGCGTGCCTACTAGCTGAAGGGAAAATACTGGCACGGCTCCAGAAGCATAAAACGGCAATTATATACCTAAATGTATTTATTGTTTACAAACAAATATGTCCGTTAGATGGTTTACACCTGTTGTTACAGCATTTGTGCTCAAACAAATGCAACCACTACCCTAGTCCTATATGTACAGATGGATATACAGTCGTGAAGGTTTTGTGTATCAGGACAAAAAAAATGAAAAAAACCCAACTATCTTGTATTTCCCAGGTTTAAGATTATTAAAACACCACCTCAGATAAGCACTGCGATTATTATTTTTTTAAAACTGAGAGAAAATGGAGAAGCACTTGGGTTCGGGAGGTTATAGAACCCTTTTCAGCAGCAACTCGAAGTATTAATTTGGGGAAATTTTGGTTTACTCGTTTTTACAAAATTGCTTCAGTTCATTGAGGTTTGTGGCCACTAAATTATGCACTACGCTCTTAATGTGCTGCCACAGCATTTCAATCAGGTTGAGGTCAGGGCTTAGACTGGGCCATTGTGGCACATTGATTCTTTTTCGTTTAGGCATTCTTTTGTTGGTTTGCTGCCATGCCCAGGATTATTCTCCTATTGTATGACGCAGCTTCAGCCAAGCTGTACCTGTCAAACAGATGGCCTCAATTTGACTCTAGAATTCTTTGCTACATAGAGGAGTTCATAGTGGACACACTGATCCAGGTGCTGTGGCTGTAAACCAGCCGAAATTAGCACTTTTCCACCACTGTGCTTTACAGCTGGTACGAGGTGTTTCTGCTGATATGCTGTGTTTGGTTATCGCCAAACCTGGCACTGAGCATTATTGTCTGAGATGCAGCTCTTGTGTTTTTTGCAATCTCTCTCAGCATTGTATGATCTGACCTTGCAGTTTGCTGGGATGTCCACTCCTGCGATGATTGGCAACTTTCCACTTTCGCACAATAGAATAACAGACAGAATACCAGACATAAATTGCCTAGAAAATGTTTCATAAACCTCCTCCGATTGATGGTCAGCGTCAACTGTTTCTCTGAGTTCATTGCTCGTGTTCCTCCTCATTGGCACTGGTATCTTTCTTCCATGTTAACACACATCTAAATGTTCCAGACCAGCAAACTGCCACAGTAAGTGTGAGCACATCATAGTTATAGATGTGCTCACACTTACTGATGATCAGTCTGCTACTTACCCTCTTAAATCCAATGGAACAGTAAGCATGTACTTAATTTTTCACACACAGTTTCTGGATTTTGTCTTAAGTTTTATTAAATAAAAAAAGACAGTATAATATGACATGTTGTTATTCATCTGATGTTGTGGTTACTGTGGTTATTTAAAAAATATGCTCTGTTATGCAAAACTTTACAACTAAGAATGTGTGCACACTCTTTTTCACAAGAGCATACTAATATATTTGGTGTCCAATAATGGTAGTCATTGCCATTCTGTTGATAGCGCTAGCATCCATTCGACCCTGTTTTTTATTTAGTGCAGAATAAATGGGCTGTGGTGGGTTTATTGAGAAGGTCACATGAATCATCCAACTGCTTTTTAGTGCTTAAAACACAGGGATTATAAACTAATCAGCGATACTAATCCGCACTTGGAAACACCAGCCATTACACTGCCAGAGCTCTACACCACTGCCCAGTGTTACTGCTGTTTGAATATGCAAGGATGAAACAGCCCTCGTGCGATCAAGTTCAGTAGAACGATTTATGAAAGAAAAATTATTTGCAGCTTATAATTTATAAGAGGAAACAACTTTCCATCATCCGCAAGGTTTACTGAGGCTGGTTTGTGAGGTCTGAGAGGCATTACATGAAGGTTGCCATAGTAACTGCCCCAGTGTTGATAGGGCCACTTAGAGGAAAGCAGGAAATTAATGAACACTTGTGCCTGGTTTCACCAATGGTGCCTCTTAAGCCTGGATATAAATACTGCATTAAATCAAAAACATAATTTCTACAATATTCTGGTAAGGCGGAATGAGTTTCAGGGTTTCTTCAGAGGATTATGCTTACATGATGCTCAGATTACACTTAAACTACAACAGGGACGGTTTTTGTGAAAACTTTGTTGCATATGCGGTGTCCACTATTTTAAATGCGAAATTGGATCAATGGGAGATGTGACAAACTGCTATTGATCTGTAGTCTTTTCTCTCCAGTGTGTATGAACTCACACTGCAAACTGTTTCTAAAAAAAAAAATAACATGACATCAACAACTATATTCCTTTCAATTGCTTATTTTAGGGAAACATAGTATTGAACAAAAAGCTAACAAAAAGTGGCCAAATGATGTTCACATGATTTAAATTCAGTATTATTCCTCTCTTTAGCATCATTTAATGTTTTTATGCAGAAAGGAATATAAGAAAGAGACGAAAAGGAAAATCTACAGCATTGTGACTATGTTTATTTAATCAGTTTTATTACTGTAATCTGGCCATGACAGTCACCCCTGGTGGACCATTCTAAAGCATGAAAAACCCTATAACGACTGTAATATTAGGCCTAAGGGCTTAACAACAATGGGCCTGCTATGTCAGCAATTTGTATGCAAAAGGTGCAACCTCAACAAATACTGTTAACTGCAACTGGTTTTAGAAATCTCTAATTATCTGTGGTGAGATGTTCCAAAAAAAGACTGTTTCTAGGTTAAATACTTTAAATATGGAAACAATAAATGCAAATGTTGCTTACTCACGAGAATTCTCCCTCTTTGAAATTGAGTGCCATCTCACATGGGAGCTCACTGGATACAGAATGATATAGCCTGTGTGTGTGTGCACGATGCATTATGTTGTAGATAATCAATGCCCTTCCATACCGTTTGGCTGATCAAGTGAGTTCCAGAATCTACCAGCGAAAAAGCCCTCTGACCCCGGATCAATAAGTTGACTGGAAACACAAACTCAGTGCCTTCGTCTCAGAGCGCCAGTATAAGCATGGTTAAAAGCCTCATTCATCATGGGGATCACGTCAGCTGTAATTCAGATGTAAACAAATGGGATATCCTTATTTGTTATATATAGTTGTGGCAGATATAAACTCACCTGAGCTTAATAATGCTTTCCAGTGCAACGGGATCTTTATATTATTGCCTATTATTGTCCACAAAAATACTTTCAAAATTCAGATTTTAAAAAATGTGCTGACTTTGAGCACAGACTGTAAAACATTTAAATAGGATTACAAAGATTAGATATGGAATCAAGCATGGAAATTATTCTAATTAGATAGCAAAATTATGGCGTTTCAATTCCAAGTAACGTTCAAAAAAAAAAAAAAGAACGAAAGAAAGAAAGAAAGAAAAAGGTTAATTTTCTTAATTTATTTTGGTAGAAACTGGCTCCCACGCTAAAATCGCTGTAGGTGGGAGGCGTCGGCACAGGTGTCAGATAATGTAGGAATCTGTTCATTATCAATTTGTCTGCAAATTGCCTCAAGATGGGTCGCATACATTTTGTTTTCCCCTTGCCTGATAAGTTTGATAACGGCAGAAAATTTTCTGATTAAGGTGAGGAGGAGGAGGAGGCCAGAAACCCTGCAGAGGTCCTGTACCACTCACAGTAAATAGAATTTAACAGGAAATAATAGGACGACAAACCATGTTTTTTATTTGTGTGGCAGCACTCAGGGCTCTAAGGGAATACCAATACAATTGAATTTTCCTTTCCACATGTGGATCCGTTTCCCTGCAGCCATTTACTGGTGTTATTTACTGTAGAGGATTCAAAGTTTTTCTTCAGGGCTAGAAGTGACAGAGGTGTTTATATCACAGACAAAAGGGGATGGGCTTCCTTCTGTATGTGAGAGACTATGGGCCGGTGTGTATGATCAGCCTGCATAGCAGCTGAATTTCGAGGATTATTTTGTACCATAAAATAACAAAATAAAGTATTTTCTGTGTCTGTAACAATTCATTAGCTCACAGCAGTCTTACCATCAAATGGTAGCACATAAAGAATCCCTCATAATCTGAATCTTTTAAATGTAATACATTATGCTTGTCCTTATTTTCTGTATACTGTGCTTACAGTGGTTAAACCTTTTTAAAAAGCTAAACGCTCAGACTCTTTTCTCTCTCTCTCTGTATGATGTTAAAGATAGAGGGAAGCTCTTAATATTATAATTTAAGGCACAAGTTCACATAATGGCTTGAAGGGGAGAGTTGCCTTATAAAGAAATGTCCAGTATAAGACAAACAAGCATTATTGCGAACTGTGAATCCTGCCAATCTCGTCTGGTTACAAAAATGTTCACAATAGGCCCACTTTAAGTAATTATGTTCCCATTCTGTGACAATGAATCCTGCGGTAGCATTTAACTCAATGAAGCAGAGAAAATAAAGGTGTGAAAAAAAGTACTACATACAGATGGAGTAGCTCCCAGAACAAACTAAATTAAATTCCACTGGGAGGAAATAACCTCTTGCCCTCCCTTTATCCAACGCTACTATTCAAGCTGTCACAAACCTTAAGTATCGAGCAAAGCAGAGGCCGTTTTGAGTACGATTTGATGTTTACTTGAATGAATGGCATCGTAACTACAGCACTGACAGGCTGTGCAGCATCGCAGCAGAAACATCTTCCAAGGACTTCTTTTTCTTTACATC